TGTGCCACTGCTCTCCAGCCTGGCGACAGAACAAGACTCCGTCTCAAACAAACAAACAAACAAACAAAAAAGCCAGAAGTGGTGGCATGCACCTGTAGTCCCAGCTTCTGGGGAGGCTGAGGTAGGAGGATCGACTGAGCCTGGGAGGTTGAAGTTGTAGTGACCTGGGATCACACCTTTGCATTCAACCTGGGTGACAGAGTGGGACCCCATCTCGAAAAAAAAGTTGAAATTGCTCATTGATCCACAGGCTGCAGAATGTTGTGTTAGCAAGCATGAAAACAACGTTCATCACCTTGTCCATCTCCATTAGAGCTCTTGGGCAACTAAGTGCACTGTCAATGAAAAGTAATGTTTTGAAAGCAATCTTTTTTTCTGAGCACTGGGTCTCCACAGTGGGCTTAAAATAGTAAACCTTGCAGCCGGTCGTGGTGGCTCATGCCTGTAATCTCAGCACTTTGGGAGGCTGAGGTGGGCGGATCACCTGAGGTCAGGAGTTTGAGACCAGCCTGGTCAACATGGCGACACTCCATCTCCACTCAAAGCACAAAAATTAGCTGGGCATGGTGCCTGTAATCCCAGCTACTCAGGAGGTTGAGACAGGAGAATCACTTGAACCCGGGAGGCGGAGGCTGCAGTGAGCTGAGACTGCACCACTGCACTCCAGCCTAGGCGACAAGAACGAAACTCCATCTCAAACAACAACAACAACAACAACAACAACAACAACAACAGTGGCTCACACCTATAATCACAGCACTCTGGGAGGCCGAGGCAGGCGGATCACCTGAGGTTGGGAGTTCAAGACCCGCCTGACCAACATGGAGAAACCCTGTCTCTACTAAAAATACAATGTAAACTGGACACAGTGGAACATGCCTATAATCCCAGCTACTCAGGAGGTTGAGGCAGGAGAATTACTTGAACCCAGGAGGCGGAAGCTGTGGTGAGCCGACATGGCACCATGGCATCCAGCCTGGGCAGGAAGAGCAAAACTGTCTCAAAAAAAAAAAAAAGTAAACCATGCTATAAATGATGTGCTGTCATCAGGCTTTGTTGTTCCATTTCTAGAGCACGGCAGAGTAGATTTAGCATAATTCTTAAAGGCCCTAGAATTTTCAGAATGGTAATGAGCACTGACTTTCACTTAAAGTCACAGCTGTGTTAGCCCCAACAAGAGAATCATCCTATCCTTTGAAACTTGAAACCAAGCCCCGATTTCTCTTCTCTGGCTATGAAAGTCCTAGAAGGCTAGAAATTGTTTCATCTACAACAAAAATCTGTTGTTTCGTGTAACAACCTTCATCAATGATCTTAGATCTTTCAGATCATCTGATGCTTCATCTTGCACTTTTATGCTACAGACATGGCTTTGTTACTTCAACCTCATTAACCTCTGCCCACTTCGAAACTCTTCTGTAGTTTCCTCACCTCTCTCAGGATTCAGAGAATTGAAGAGAGCTAGGACTGTGATCTGAATTAGCTTTGGCTCAAGGAATGTTGTAGCTGGTTTGATCTGTCCAGACCACTAAAAAGGTACAGCAAATGATTAGAAACAGTAGGGGAAAAAGCAGATAAGACCACTATTACCTCAGAGGTTATATTCTTTGGGGAGGAAATGGACAATAAGCAAGTGAACAAACGACATGTAAATTGATGTGATAAAAAGGTGATGTGAAACCAATGTGATGAAGTGTACATGGAGATACCATTAGAGTGACCAGAAACGTCTCCATGAGGCAGTAATCTTTGCAGTTGATTGACAGGAGCCAAGCATATCTGAATAGTGTTGCTTTTAAAATCCTTTCCATTCTACTTTTCTACTTATAAACAAATCTAAATTCATGGCCATTAAGTACAGGGAAAATATTTTAACTTAAAAGCTTTTGCTCTACGCCGGGCGCGGTGGCTCAAGCCTGTAATCCCAGCACTTTGGGAGGCCGAGGCGGGTGGATCACGAGGTCAAGAGATGGAGACCATCCTGGTCAACATGGTGAAACCCCGTCTCTACTAAAAATACAAAAAATTAGCTGGGCATGGTGGCGTGTGCCTGTAATCCCAGCTACTCAGGAGGCTGAGGCAGGAGAATTGCCTGAACCCAGGAGGCGGAGGTTGCGGTGAGCCGACATCGCGCCATTGCACTCCATCCTGGGTAACAAGAGCGAAACTCCGTCTTAAAAAAAAAAAAAAAAAAAAAAAAAAAAAGCTTTTGCTCTCATTCTCCCCATTTTTTTTTAACTGCAAATGTTGAGGCCATTATTAACCCAAGAATTCTTTTTTTTTTTTTTTTTGAGATGGAGTCTCTGTCGCCCAGGCTGTAGTGCAGTGGCAAAAGGCTGAGGCAGGAGAATTGCCTGAGCCCAGGAGGCGGAGGTTGCGGTGAGCCGAGATCGCGCCATTGCACTCCAGCCTGGGTAACAAGAGTGAAACCCCGTCTCAAAAAAAAAAAAAAAAAAAAAAAAAAAAAAATCTACACTCACTGACTGCAACCTCAACTTCCCCAATTAAAGCAATGCTCCCGCCTCAGCCTCCTAAGTAGCTGGGATTACAGGTGTGTGCCACCATGCTGGCCAATTTCTTTATATTTTTAGTAAAGACTTTCCATGTTGGCCAGGCTGGTCTCAAACTCCTGATCTCAAGTGATCCACCCACCTGGGACTCTCGGACTCCCAAGTGCTGGAATTACAAACATGAACCACTGTGCTGGGCCTGAGTTCTAGTGAAACCAATTCTGGGCTGACCCCTGGTGCCCTGTGAGAATGCCTTCTTGCTCTGGCAGCTCTCCTCCCCCATTATCTAGACTTTACAGTTCCCCTCTCTCCTTAGCTATAGTTTTCTCAATCTTGGGGCTCCAAAGCCCCTCTTTCTTTTGCCCCTCCTGGTGCTACTGCCCTGTGCAAAGCAGTGCTTCCAGAAATCATAAGCCCCATGAGGGCAGGAACACTGCTTGTGTTATTCACTGCTCCATTCCCAGCACACCTGAATTGTGCTGAGCAGAGAGTTGACACTCAATAAATATTCATTCAGTGAGAAAACTTCCTGAAGCCACTAGGAGGGTAACCAGTCACCTCTCCAGATGCTTCAGTACTTGAGCCTACTAGAAAGAACTTGCAGCCTACCTCCATAGAGATAAACATGATTCCCATTTCACATATGGACAGCCGAGTTAGTTCAAGTAATCTAAGATCGTAACTACTCTACCTAAAATGGTCTGACCCTTGGTTAGAAATATTTTTAAAAGCCAAGAAGTAGAAGCTAATGAAAAATCCAGGATACAGAGAACATAACTCGTGTCATTTAACATTTCTTGAAGATATGATGGATTTAACTGATGTAGAACAGCCTTCCTGGATAAATCCAGCAATAAATATTTTGGCTTCCTAAAAACAAAACAAAAAACAAGCAAAATAACTGTTCTTGGCTTGAATCATAGGAATTCTTTGCTGGCAACCCGGCCCAAGCTGATGGCGTTTGTGCCTTTAGGATAGGATTGGAGACTGCATGTGTGTTCTGCACAACAACCACGGACACTTAACATTCATTAAACAATAATGAAACAGGACGCCTGGATTTTTTTGTTTCTCCTAGGTTTCTTCCTCATTTAAGTGACCTTGGACAAATCCATTCCTTCCCTCATATCTGATTTCCATCAGTCTGTTTCGGGATAATGTTTATGACTACGACGCTTTGTGAGATCTTCAGATTACAAATAATAGTTACTGCCCTTCCATCTATGAAAATTTTCCTCCTTCACTACCCTATGGGATGTTTGCATGACCTTTCCATTGAAAACCTTCACACACAGTTGTGAAGCGTCAATACCATCTAGGGATGGTTCAGAGGTTCCAAAGCCAATCAAATGACAAGTCAAGGGATCACTTGGGCCATGAAAAGTCCGTTTCCTATGCTACTGAGAGCTGGAAAACAGGTACATGTACTAATCCTTAAACCCTGTTTTCCTTCTTTCTGCCGTTTTCGGCCTTTTCTAAACTATGCAGAAGCTGCGGACATCTGACTATCCTATATTCGACAATTGCTTCCAAAGCAATCCTACCGAAAACAGACCACACGGTCCCCACGGGCGGGCAGGACAGGCCGCCGGGCCCTGGATCAGGAGCTGCGCGCTCCACACATTGTTTAGAGGCCGACGCGGCACAGCCATCTTGCGTCGGGCGCCAGGGCCCGGGAGGAGAGCGAGCCCGGTCCCCAGATCCCGGAGGCCGGCACTGGCGAGGGGCTGCCCCGCACGCAGGTGGCCCGCCCGAGCCAGGCAGGAGTCTGAGCCATCAAGTTGTCTGCGGTGGACTCGGGCCGGCCGCGCAGGACCCCGCCGCACTTGGCTGGTCGCGCAGGCGGGAAGGAGGCCGTCGGTCCGCCCCTCCTGCTGCCGCAGCAGCCCCGTCCGACAGCGGGCGCGGGACGCTGGGTTCCGATTTGCCAGCTTCCTGCTAGGGAGCGTCTTCCACTGGGGCGCGGCGACCGGACCGGTCGTGTCCTCCCCCACCCACTGCCGCCCGGGTCTCTCCACGGGGGCGCGCGCCGGGGCCCGCGCGGTGGCGGCCCCTCCTTCCCCTCCCCGCCGCGGCCCTAGACGCCCGCAGGCCGGGCGTTCACCCGCCGCGCCTCCGCCCGCCCTCCCGTCCCCTCCCCCCGCTTCCCTCCGGGCGCCCCAAACCCGGGCATCTGGGGTTCGACGCTGTGCGCGCCCGGAGCGGAATGGGAGTGCAGGGCCGGGGGCGGGGGTTGGCCGGTGACTAGCGGCAGTTTCGGCGGGAGCCGGCGGCCCCTCAGCGTGTCTTTTGTGTTTGTACACACACGGCGCGAGGCGGCCGGGAGGAGGGAGCAGGCGGCGTGCGGGGGAGGGGCGAGCGCGCGCCAGCGAACTGGCGCGCGGGGGGAGGGGCGGGGGCGGGGCGCGAGCAGGGCTTGCGGGGGCGGGGCCGAGCCTTCCCTCCATTGTGTGTGATTGGCTGGCTCGCGGCGCGGGGGCGGGGCGGCGTGTGTTGGGGGATAGCCTCGGTGTCAGCCATCTTTCAATTGTGTTCGCAGCCGCCGCCGCGCCGCCGTCGCTCTGCAACGCCAGCGCCGCCTCTCGCTCGCCGAGCTCCAGCCGAAGGAGAAGGGGGGTAAGTTTCCCCGTCTGTCCTCTTCCCCAGAACCGAGCCCTGCTTGCCGTCAGCCCCGACCCGGGCTCTGGTGGTGCCGGGAGGGGACCCGTAGCCCCTCCGCCTTAGCCCACAAACTTTTTGGCCCAGAAATGGAGCGAGTTTCCCTCTTCCCTCTGGCGGCGGCGGCTCCTCAGTCTCTCGCCGCCTCAGCCCAACAGCAGCAACCGCCGCGGCGCCGAGCCTGCTCTCCCTCCTCCTCCCCGCGCCCCTGGCTCCTCTTTCTTCGGTGATATCCCGCCCGCCTGTCCCTTCCGCGGACCCCAAACCTTCACCACGACCCGCACGGGCCTCTTAACTACTGCCCCCGGGCCCCGGCCCCCAGTTTTCGGGCGGGAAAGGGGTTGAAATCGCCGCCGCTTCGCACCCTGGGGTAACTCGCTTTTTGCTGCCTCCCCACAGTTGTTGCTAAGCTTCACCATCTTGTCTCTCTTCTCTGGTCACCGACCATATTTTTTCCCCCGTTTCTCTCTTCCCCATTTGAAAAAAGCAAGAATTTTTAAAAGAGGGACATTTTTTTCCCTTTTTTGGAGAAGCGAAAACTTGATGCATTTGAAATGCAAAAAAACTTTTGCATTTTGGAGGGCGGCACGTGGCAGGGGATCGGGGTATTTTCTAGAGATTTGGTGTTTTGTCTCTTTGGAACGGAATTGGATACGTTTTGCGATTGTTTCCATTTTGTTCTGGTCTGGGAGCCGAGTTGGTGCCTGCTCGAGGCGCTGGGAGCCAGACGGGCAGGTTGGGGGACCCTGTGCCGAGGGACCCAGAGGAGGCAAAACCAAAAGTTTATGTGGTGCTTCGGGTGGACCGGTCGGCGGATGTCGTGCCTTAATTAAAGCCTGGGTGCGGGGCACTTTTTATTTCACTGGGAAGCCTGCGAGGACTGGACGCGAGGACGGGGCTTTGTAGAATGCTCGCTGGTGGTAGCTGTTGTTCCTCTCTTGTTTTTTCGAGACGCCTTTTTGTCAACATAACGATATGTTTGTTGAACGATACAATAACCAAGAATATTTTCAGATATTTACAGCAATCCATCAACAGCCAGACGAAGGTGGGGGGCAGCCACAGGGGGCAGTAAGACCTTTTTTGCTGTAATTTGACTCGATCCTCCAGCGATTTGTGGCTTCATTCTTTTGACTTGTTTGTGGCTGGAATGTTTTCAGACATTTCTTATTTCTGCTTTAATTAATTAAAGAAATCGGATCAAAGGCTGTTAAGAGGTCTTTTTGTTTTGCCGTTTGTTGCTCAGAATTGGCGTTTCGAGAGAGGATTGGTATTAATTGCTAACAATTTTCTAGTACTCTAGTTCGTTTCAAGAAGTCATTTTGGGTAGACGTAATCTCTACTCTTTAAAATTATATAACAATACGAACATTATTTTTTATACTGATCATAATTTCCAGATATGGGGAGGGAGTGATCGTGATCATGGCAGGAAAACTTGTGTGTTTAGTAGTTTCATACGGTGATTTGATTTTTTTTTTTTTTTTTTTAATGCTGGTAGGTAAGTAAGGAGGTCTCTATACCATGGCTCGTACAAAGCAGACTGCCCGCAAATCTACCGGTGGTAAAGCACCCAGGAAGCAACTGGCTACAAAAGCCGCTCGAAAGAGTGCGCCCTCTACTGGAGGGGTGAAGAAACCTCATCGTTACAGGTATTAAAAAACGAGGAAAAAAATGGGACAGTCTCTCTTATGTATCCATATAATTTAACAAAAGATGAATAACAGGAAAACTCTTTGCTTTAGAGAAACTTTTTTTTATTTGAACACTTATTGCTTAAATACATGTACCGTGATTTCATTTATTATATAAAATTTAGTATTGGGTTTTATTGGAAACGTTTAACTTTTAAGCCATAATCTGACCTAGATGCCTAGGTGATTAACATCACTGATAATGTTAATGGAATATATTGACATTTTAGTTAACTTAGTAATTCTCTAAAAATAGTTATGTGTTGCCTTCTTGAATACACTTTTGAGGATATCTTTCCTAGCTTTTGGCAAAATAATTTAATCGAAATTGGATGTTTTATAAGGTTCCTACCCCCTCGTTTATTTGATTAGCTTATTTCCTTCTATATTAGCTCATTGGATTGTGAACTACCTGAGCTACTGTGTTGTTAAGGGCATCTGCCATTAGAGGGCAGAAGTTGCCCAGACTTAGGTAGCCTCAGCAGCTATTACCATTAACCTAAAATAAAAGCTCATACAGTGGAAGAAGTCAGTCAGAATGAGAGGTAAATTTCTTGCTGACAGTTATTTAGTTAAAAAAAAAACTTTTCCACATGGAAGGAACACTACACAATCGGATGTATTCAACTTTAACAATTCTTGAGGAATGAACTGTAGGCAGAGTAGAGGTATTCTAGGAAATAGAATTTAAATGCCAGCAAGTATATTTTTAAATGAAGTTCATTGGGTTCTGTTGGTTATCTTTAAGGGCTGTTAAGATAATAGAGGGTGCAGGTGGGAAGGAGAGTGGTGCTAAGTTGAGAAGAGTCAATTTTATTAGTAGCCTGACAGTACCTTCCAAGGTTTTGGATATCTGTATCACTTTAAAAAACGAAAATAAATAGGGCTTTGATAAACTTCCTTGATAAGAATGTATTTTAATTTCAGGCTTTTTGCTAAAGGTATTGTTACTCCTACTAGACTTGAATGTCATCATAAGTTGATCAGTGAAATTTGATACTGAAGCTGAAGAATTGTTGGGTGGTTTGTTTTTTGAAAAATTACTGCATTTCTTGAAACCTGCCCACTTTTATGCTATTTATGTTTTTGGTAACTTTCTTTATTGTTAATTTTTTAAAGGCCTGGTACTGTGGCACTCCGTGAAATTAGACGTTATCAGAAGTCCACTGAACTTCTGATTCGCAAACTTCCCTTCCAGCGTCTGGTGCGAGAAATTGCTCAGGACTTTAAAACAGATCTGCGCTTCCAGAGCGCAGCTATCGGTGCTTTGCAGGTAAAATGATGGGTGGGGAAGACTCAGTTTGTATTCCTGTTGTGTACCAAGAACAGTTCTAGAAAATTTTTGAATATGCTTTTATATATATATATAAAATTTTTTTTCTCTCTGTCTGTATTTCTCCCTTGTGTTTACCACAACCTCCACCTCCTGGGTTCAAGTGATTCTGCCTCAGCGTCCAAGAAGCTGGGATTGCAGGCGGACACTACCATGCCTGGCTAATTTTGTATTTTTAGTAGAGACAGAGTTTTTCCATGTTGGTCAGGCTGGTCTCAAACTCCCGGACCTCAGGTGATCCACCCTGCCTCTACCTCCCAAAGTGCTGGGATTACAAGCATGAGCCACTGTGCCCACCCACTAATATTTAATCACAAGCCTGTCAGGTAGTTGACATCATGACTTCACTGTTGAGACTTCAGAAAGGTTAAGTTGCTCAAGGTCATGCCCATAGAAAATGGCAAAACCATAATTTGAACATCTGACTCCAAGGCTTAGTGCACATTTCATTATACCATTTAAAATTTTGAAACATTGCACTAAAAAAAATTTAAATAAAAGCCTCTGATTTGGTTTATGGATGCTGTAGGACATTAAGAAGAACTGAGATTAGAGGTCTATATTTGTAGTAACAATTTCAAACAACAGTGCCTGGAATAAAAGAAATGTCTCTTTAGTTCCTGAAGAAACAGATACAGAGAGAGCTTAATATCTAGGATGGGAATAGAGCTTAATATCTAATATTAAAGAATTATGTGTTAAGATGTAAAAGGAGCAGTGAGTGGAGGATAGAATCGGATTGGCAAGATAGGGGAAACAGCGCTTAAAGGTGATACCGGACCTGTAAGGGGACAGGGATTTGCTTTGTGGTTTGCTGAAAGAGATTAGGGATTTCCACTTAAATGTGGAGCATATTGAATTTAATCTTAATCTCTAGCATGTAAGGATTTAGAGACATACTATTCTGGAGATGTTTATGTATTTGAGATATTTGTGCTTTATGTCAAGACCAAAACTTTGCATCTGTTGCTTCAGTATTGGCAAAATAAAAGAAAAAAAAAAAAAAGACCAAAACTTGAGATTACTACAGTATACTTGATAAAGGTATGTAGGTGTAATTAACATCAATCACTTAAGTAACCTATTTTACATTGTGTGGTTGGATTCTTTAGATGAAAGTATCCCAGAATACAGTAAAGCTACTGCCTCCATCAGAAGCATGCAGTTGGGGCTGTTAAAAATGCTGATTGCTAGGCACCATTGCAGACCTGAATCAATCTCTTGATGAGGGGTGGAGCAGGGGGGTATCCAGAATCTAAGTATCCTCCATTGGAGGATTTTCAAGGCTGCTGTTGCTGTGCCGGGCTTTTGCTTTATGTGTGAGAAAGATTTGATAGGTGGATTCCACCCTGAAATGTAATTGGCCGAGCTGTTTCTATGGTTAGTCTAAACTTCATTTGATTGGTGAATTCCAGGATTAGGCATCCATTAAATTCTCAGTGAGTTGCTGAGATTTCAACTACAAAAATCTTGCATTCTGTTACTTAAAACTTTATTTTCTGTTTTAATAGCGGATTATCTCAGTTTTCGTTTCATTTATTACTAAATATAGAAATGTTACTAAGATTCCCAAGCATTGGTACAAAGCTGCTAATATTTTCTAATTACAACTATGCGTAAAGAACACAATACCGTACTTGAAAAGTGCAGCATTTTTTAGCTTAAATGTTAGTAATGTAGCCTTTTAAATTGAGTTTACGAAACAATCTGGGTAAAAGACTCATCTTTCTAAAATTATTCATGTGTAAACTTCAATTGTTAGTATTACATATTTGTCATTAAATATGTGTTGGTTTTAAGCAAAATGTTCACCTCTTCTGTCCACAGTTTTCTTAGTGTTAGTTAGCTCTTTACTGGAAAGAGTGATCTTTGTAACAGGCTTTTGTGTTTTGTGTTTGCTTTTTTATGCATATGCTTTAGTTCTCTTAAAGATACAGAGGGAGAATTCGTTAATGGAATAGGATAATAGATTGCAATTGAAATAGAAATCCAAAGGTCACTTTCTTTTTGGCCTTAGAATTACACGCTTTACAACTAAAGGATGGGAGAGAGTCCAGTGAGAATGGTAGAGAAGTTAGTCTTAGTTTGCCATAGGTAATCAAAAATTGGCTTACTTAAAATTTAGTCTTTGCCTTTAATGTCTGAGAACTTGAACTCAAATATCCTTAATGTTAAATGGACAGTGTTGCTTTGAAATGGTAAAGAGCCAGACATTGAATATACTCAAAATGTCCTAAACTATTATTTTCTTGTAGTTTTGTTTTTTCTTTTGCCATTAACTCAATTCATTGGGTCATAAATTACTGTGGTAATCTTTAATTCCCATTACAGTCTTAATGTTTTAAGGGACTTTAGGTTACTTGTAATAGAATTGGAAATGTATGGGTTATGGTCAGATCCTCTCCAGGAGTCGAATCTTTTCTCAGAGCTGACCAGACACAACCCTTATAAACTAGCAGCCAGGTTCTAAGAGCTGTGAGAGCCCCAGCTGCTGCATGCCACATCTGAATAGTTCTAGGTGATTAGGCCTCAGAATCATGGGACCTGATGGTTTATCTACCTAGTAGCTTGTGCCACATTTCACAAAAGCATTCTGGCTTTCTATAATCCTGAGGTGCCAGATTAAGCAAAAGTAAACTTTTCTTTCCTGAGAAACTTCACTTCTCGTAGGTGATGTGCATTGTGAGTCCCTAAGGAGGCTACAATATGCCATGTTTTCCAGGCTTTTACCCACTTCTAGCATAGGTTAAGAACGAATCTCTGAATATTAAGGACTTTTGCTTTTTAATACCTTTGGAATAGGTAAGATGTGATGGACTAATTGCATAGAATAGAAACATATTTTTTAAAGTAGCAAATACTGAAAATCTACTTGAGGACAAGGTATTTTGAGTATAAAATTAGATTTCTAATATCAGATAACTTAAGAGCACCAAAAAAATGGCTAATAATGTAAAGTCAGTGTGAGCACCAAGGAACTGGGAGTTCAGGGTTGCCTGCACTGGCAACGGGAGTACTTGATTTTTTTCCTTCATGGAATAGTCTTGAGCTGGGCCTTAAAGTGTAGATGAGTAAGACTTAGTTCTTAATAACAAATGCTGCGAAATACACATGAAGATAGTTCGATTTGAATGAAAGAAACTTGTATAAGAGTAGTGATGCGGCTAAAAAATGATGAAGGTGTAAATGTACTTTTTAAAAATAAAATAGGCCGGGCGCGGTGGCTCAAGCCTGTAATCCCAGCACTTTGGGAGGCCGAGGCGGGTGGATCACGAGGTCGAGAGATCGAGACCATCCTGGTCAACATGGTGAAACCCCGTCTCTACTAAAAATACAAAAAAAAATTAGCTGGGCATGGTGGCACGTGCCTGTAATCCCAGCTACTCAGGAGGCTGAGGCAGGAGAATTGCCTGAACCCAGGAGGCGGAGGTTGCGGTGAGCCGAGATCGCGCCATTGCACTCCAGCCTGGGTAACGAGTGAAACTCGGTCTCAAAAAATAAAAATAAAAATAAAAATAAAATAGTGTAAACCATTTGAGTTCAGGGATCTCAGTAATTTTATTGCAAAGTCAAAACACTTTTGTGAAACAAAAAGGTCTGTATCCTGTTTTGTGTTTTATGTGGCATTGTGGGACTTAAATTGCTCTGTTATTTGTGTGTGTCTTCTTAAGATAAAAATAGCAACTTAAAGACTATTTTCTCCCTTAATATTATCTTGAGCAGAGAAATAATTTTTCCTTATAGAGAAAGAGAGAGGGCCAACTAACTTATTATTTCACGCTCGAAATCCAAAACTGTTGGATTCATGATTTTTTTTTTTTTTTTTTTGAATAGAGACGGGGTTTCACCATGTTGATCAGGCTAATCTTGAGCTCCTAACCTTGTGATCCACCTGCCTTGGCCTCCCAGAGTGCTGGGATTACAGGCATGAGTCATTGTGCCGGCCTGGATTTGTGATTTAATTTTTAAGATGGTAATTTCTCCATTTCAAAATGAGTATGCAGGACGGGGATGGTGGTTCACACCTGTAATTCCAGCACTTTGGGAGGCTGAAGTAGAAGGATCAACTGAAGTCAGGAGTTTGAGACCAGCCTGGCCAACATGGTGAAACCCTGTCTCTACTAAAAATACAAAATTAGCTGGGTGTGGTGGTGGACCCTTGTACTCCCAGCTACTCAGGAGGCTGAGGCAGGAGAATTGCCTGAGCCAGGGAAATGGAGGTTGCAGTGAACTGAGATTATACCACTGCACTCTAGCCTGAGCTACAGAGCAAAACTCCATCTCAAAAAAAAAAAATTAGTAAGCAGATGTTTTAACTTAAGACTAAAAGATTCTCAGCTTTTCAGACAACTTTTTTTTTTTTTTTTTTTTTGGTAGAGACGGGGTTTCACCAGGATGGTCTTGATCTCTTGACCTGGTGATCCACCTGCCTCAGTCTCCCAAAGTGCTAGGATTATAGGCGTGAGCCACCGTGCCCGGCACAGACAACTATTAAGTATACTAACAATTTCAGTTATGAGTTAATTCTAACTAGAAATGCCCCTCCTTCCTCTTCACAAGCTACCTGTCAATGAGTGATTCATATACCTGTCATTCTTGAGTGGTAGTAGTAATAAGATAACTTGAAAGGATCTTCTAGTCAAATGGGAAAAACCAGGGAGATAAATATTAGTACTAGAGGACAACAAATGCTGTTACAAATAGGGGTACATAGAGGAAGGTACTTTGTAGAGGACTGGGCACATCTCCAAGGCATAGAGCAAAGCATATAAATAAGGAACTAACTGTGATGTGTTCTGGAACCAAAAGTACTCTCATGATAAAACAGATATAAAAGGGAAGGTAGATGAGGCGCATGTGATAGAAACCAGTTGTTCAGCATATTATACTACTGGGCAAGGCAGAGGTTCAGTTACTGTGTGAATGGGATTCAGAGTGAGGAGGAGACTAGGCTGGGATGGGGTATTTGAATTAGACATGGTTCCATTTATAAGAATGAGAATGTTAAAAGACATTGGATTTATTGGCTTTGAGACATTTCAGTTTATTAGAAATCACATTACGATTAGAAAAATTGAAGTTTCTTAGTAACAAAGTAATTTAACTTATGTAACTTGAAAGCTGCCTTTGAGCTTTGTCCCACAGGTTTTAAAATGTAAGCATTTGATAAAATTGTCAACATTCTGCAGAGCCATTTTTTAAAGGGTTTAAAAACCTTTTCGTTTTAATTCACATAGGTGGGTCTTAACTATTGGCGATAACACCATTAATAGTTTTTTCTTCATTCCTTTTGCAGGAGGCAAGTGAGGCCTATCTGGTGGGCCTTTTTGAAGACACCAACCTTTGTGCTATTCATGCCAAACGTGTAACAATTATGCCAAAAGACATCCAGCTAGCACGCCGCATACGTGGAGAGCGTGCTTAAGAATCCACTATGATGGGAAACATTTCATTCTCAAAAAAAAAAAAAAAAAAAAATTCTCTTCTTCCTGTTACTGGTAGTTCTGAATGTTAGATAATTTTTTTTCCATGGGGTCAAAAGGTACCTAAGTATATGATTGCGAGTGGAAAAATAGGGGACAGAAATCAGGTATTGGCAGTTTTTCCATTTTCATTTGTGTGTGAATTTTTAATATAAATGCGGAGACGTAAAGCATTAATGCAAGTTAAAATGTTTAGTGAACAAGTTTCAGCGGTTCAACTTTATAATAATTATAAATCTGTTAAATTTTTCTGGACAATGCCAGCATTTGGATTTTTTTAAAACAAGTAAATTTCTTATTGACGGCAACTAAATGGTGTTTGTAGCATTTTTATCATACAGTAGATTCCATCCATTCACTATACTTTTCTAACTGAGTTGTCCTACATGCAAGTACATGTTTTTAATGTTGTCTGTCTTCTGTGCTGTTCCTGTAAGTTTGCTATTAAAATACATTAAACTATACCTGCTTTTGGTCTTTATTATCAGCCTTGCCCCACAATTCATGTTCAAAATAATGTTAGTAGTAAGTGCTTTAATTGTCACTTTATATCTGAGACAAGACTTACTGAGAGATGAGGAATGTATGGGTTTGGTGGTAAAAGGAAGTGAATACTGGCTTTAATTCTTAGAAGCTTGCCAAAACCTAATGATCTTAACTCTTTTGATATGTTGTCTTCTGAACGAATTAATTCTAAAAGCTAGTCAAGAGGATCACCTGGAAATAGTGGAATCTGTAAGTAGATTCAGTTTTCATAAATGTTTAATAACATGGAAGTGTGTAACAGTCTTTAGCTAAAAAATTAATGGTTTCAAGATCTGGCTATATTAAGATGCTCTGTATTCGTTAACTCTGAACTTTACTCAAGCACTAATGGTTAATTCTTAGCCCTGTTTTATTTAGTATTGGTATGATTAATGTGAAATGAGGATAATAATGAACCTTCTTAAGACTTTTGACAGATCCCTTAAGTTGTTTGAGTGTTTGAAATGTTAATCACTGTGCTAAGAATAGACTTCTTGTCAATAAGATACAACATTGGGCTTGCATTCTTGCTGCTCTTAAACATTTTAGCTGTTTCTATTATAGATGACTATAAAATTCTTTAATGGGAGAATTATTTCTAAGAGCCTGATTTTGTTAGCATGCATCCTAGTTTTCATTGTGATCTTTTGCATATACAGGGAAGTACTGGTAACGCTTGGTACTTTCTCAGTAGTTGAATATTCTGTTTAGTCCAGTTTTTCAGTGCAAAGGACCAAATGGTAGGCCTTTTCATGAAAAACACTCAGAAGAAAAAGTAGGTGTCTCCATTAAGGGAGGAAGTTAATGTTACCTGCTGGAATCTGATAAGGACCAGTTATTTACAAGTGGATGGTACAGTCCTTTGAGTTCTTGGAATCCTAAATTCTCCAAAAGTTTTGGTGTGCTAAAAGTACGTTTTTTTTTGTTGCCCCGTGAGTGGTTGTTAACAGTTAATTCTTTTTTTAAGCAAAATTTCAATTGGTTTAAACAGATAATTAGTACTATGTGGTCATTCTTCAGGTATAAGACAGTAAGTTGTACATTATAAAATAGAAAAAAGTACAAAGATGAACTTGGCACTCAGTGTATGTACACAGATGTCTGATCAATTTATTGAATTTGTCTCATAATGTGTTAATATTGGGCATGTATTCCAAGAAGGTAGGTAACTTGTTAATACTTACAAATGAGGCAGTTGAATTTGGGAAAACATTTTTTAATTGACTAGGACCTGTCCAATATGCTTAGTAGTTTTGAGCTCAGGGCTATCCTTTGACTCAGGTGCTGATCGGCCAGCTCATTGATCCCTGGCTCAGTAACTATTAGGCTGATAATCCTCTTTCCTATGATGCGTCAGAGCTGGTATATGACAATTCCACCCAGAAAAATAAATGGAATTGGAATTGAGCTCAAAATGTATGGAGACTAGGTAAAATCACCACTTTGTTTCAGCTTTTGAATAGTAAAGTAACTTAAATAGCCAATAAACACCTTTTAAGATTTCAGAAAAGTTCCTTAAAGTCTAAGTTGACTTGACAGATGAAAAACCCCACAAAACTATATTTTAAGATAAAAATTCAGGTAAATGTCTTAGAAAAGTCGGGAATACTATAACTGGAAGAATCTTTAGGAATTTGAAAACGTTAACCAAATGGGAATCTCAGTTATTGCAAATAGGTAAGTGCTTGCACAATGCCCAAGCTCTTGCCCTTCTTGACAGTCTAGAACAAGCATCCCCAAACTTTTTACATGGGGCCAGTTCACTGTCCCTCAGATCGTTGGACGGCCGCCATATACTGTGCTCCTCTAACTGACCACCAATGAAAGAGGTGCCCCTTCCTGAAGTGCGGTGGGGGGCCGGATAAATAGCCTCAGGGGGCCGCATGCGGCCCGCGGATGGTAGTTTGGGGACGCCTGGTCTAGAATCTTTTAAGAGGAAATATATTCAAATTTGCAAATATATTGAGGGCCTGCCAAATGCTGAGGATGCAAAAGTATGCTGGAACTCAAAATTTAATTCTCAACAACCCTATGAAGTGGGTACTGTTTTATGCTCTATTTTACAGGTGAAGAAACGGCAAATGGAGGAGGTAGACTTTGTCCCCAGATAGGCTAAATCCAAGGCCATTCTCAAGTGATCATGTAGAATAAATCAGAGCAGTTAATTTGCCAGGGATTGTAGAAGTTGAAGTCTTGGCAGTGGGAGAAACAAATGGTGGGTGGGGGTAGGAAACAAAATTAGGATTGAAGGTGATGTTTTAGAAATCACAAGAAAAGCCTATATGCAAAGACCATGCAGCTCACCTGCTCAGTCATAACCTACCCCCTTAATTCCATTTTCATAACCTATTCTCTTAGGCTCTTCCTCCAAAAAGCCATCGAAAACTTTCCACTTACCACATCTACTACCCTAATCCAGGCTATTTTTCTTGCTTTTTTTTTTTTTTTTTTTTTTTTTGAGACGGAGTTCCAATCTTGTTGCCCAGGCTGGAGTGCAATGGCATGATCTTGGCTGACCGAAACCGCCTTCTGAGTTCAAGCGATTCTCCTGCCTTGTCCTCCCAAGTAGCTGGGATTACAGGTGCACACCACCATGCCCAGCTAATTTTTGTATTTTTTTTTAGTAGAGATGGGGTTTCACCATTTTGGCCAGGCTGGTCTTGAACTCCTGTGATACTCCCACCTTGGCTTCTCAATGTGCTGAGATTACAGGCCTGAGCCACTGCACCCAGCCTATTTTTTAAATAAAACGTTGAATAGCTCATGAATACTAAACAAAGTGACAAACAGAACGGTTGTAGGGGTACTCCAAGGACAGTTTCTACTGAATGCATGTCACTTTTGCATCATCGTAAAGTTAAAAAATTGTAGGTCTAACCATCATAACTTGAGACCATCTGTACATAGTTTATCAGGAGTAGTAAGTGCTAAAAAGAAAAACAGAATGTGGATAACAAGTGTCTTGGGTGGCGGTAGGGGAGAAGTTGGCAGTTAGGGTAGCTAGGGGAGGCATCGCTGAGGTATCTTTCAAATCAAGTCCTGAAAAACATGAGAGCAAGCCACACAGATGTGAGAGAAGAGTATTTCAGGCCCTATTAGGGGATCCCCTTAGAGGAGCCAGCCTGGTATGTTCTAGGTTGGAGCATGCCACAGTGGAGAAAATGAGTAGAGAAGCACAGTGGGAAACCAGAGAGAAGAGATACGATGGGAGCCAGAGCATGTAGTGCTTTATAGGTCCTGCAAGGACACTGAGTGAGATGGGAAACCTCTGGAGAGTTTTGAGCAGAAGGATAAATGGTCTGACTTGTTTTAACAAAATCACTCCAGCTGCTGTCTGGAGAATGGACTGAAGGCAATAAGGGTAGAGCAGAAAGGAAAACCAATTAAGCTACTGCAGTAACCTAAGTGCAACATGATGTAGTGGCTTGGACTTGGGTGGTGGCAGTGGAGGTGTGCAAAGTGGCATTCTGGATATTTTATGACAATGATAGGAGGATGGCCAGGACTTTCTGATGGGCGTAGGCATGAGAAAAATAAAGTGGGGGGTTAATGGGACCAGAGTTTTGATCTGAGTAACTGCATGAAGTTGCTATTGCTTGACATAGGGAAGACTGTGAGGGAAACAGGTTTGGGGAATATAAGGGCTCAGTTTTGGACATGTTAAAATTGAGATGCTTAATTGGACTTTTTAGTGATGTCAAGTAGACTTTTGGATATGAACCTGGGGTTTAGGAAAGAGGTTTGGGCTGGAGATACAAATTTGGAAGTCAGCATGGTCTTAAAACTAGCTGAGAAGGCCAGGTGTGGTGGCTCATGCCTGTAATCCCAAACACTTTGGGAGGCCAAGGTGGGCGGATCACAAGGTCAAGAGATCAAGACCACCCTGGCCAACATGGTGAAACCCCATCTCTACTAAAAAATACAAAAATTGGCCGGGTGTGGTGGCTCCTGCCTGTAATCCAAGCACTTTGGAGGCCAAGGCGGGCGGATCACCTGAGGTGGGGAGATCAAGACCAGCCTGACCAACATGGTGAAATCTCATCTTAAAGAAAAAAAAAAAAAATTAGCTGGGCGTGGTGGCGCATGCCCGTGGTCCCAGCTACTCCAGAAGCTGAGGCAGGAGAATTGCTTGAACCTGGGAGGCAGAGGTTACAGTGAGCCAGGATCATGCCACTCCACTCCAGCCTGGCAATAGAGCAAGTCTCCGTCTTAAAAAAAAAAAAAAAAAAAAAAAAAACCCTAGCTGAGATCACCAAGAAAGTAGGTGTCGATAGAAATTAGAGAGGAGGAGGCTGGGCGCGGTGGCTCACGCCTGTAATCTCAGCACTTTGGGAGGCTGAGGCGGGTGGATCACGAGGTCAAGAGATCGAGACCATCCTGGTCAACATGGTGAAACCCCGTCTCTACTAAAAATACAAAAAATTAGCTGGGCATGGTGGCGTGTGCCTGTAATCCCAGCTACTCAGGAAGCTGAGGCAGGAGAATTGCCTGAATCCAGGAGGCGGAGGTTGTGGTGAGCCAAGATCGCGCCATTGCACTCCAGCCTGAGTAACAAGAGCGAAACTCCGGCTCAAAAAAAAAAAAAAAAAAAAGAAAAAAAGAAATTAGAGAGGAGGGCTGGACGTGATGGCTCACGCCTGTAATCCCAGCACATTGGGAGGCTGAGGCAGGTGGATCACCTGAGATCAGGAGTTTGAGACCAGCCTGACCAACATGGAGAAATCCCATCTCTACTAAAAATACAAAATTAGCCAGGTGTGGTGGCTGAGGCAGAACAATCGCTTGAACCTGGGAGGTGGAGGTTGCAGTGAGCCAAGATCACACCATTGCACGCCAGCTTGGTCAACAAGAGCGAAACTCTGTTTCAAAAAAGAAAAAAAAAGAAAAGAAATTAGAAATTCAAGGACTGAGGCACTCAACATCTCAACATTTAGAGTTT